CAGCGCGGACGAGCTGCCGGCGCGCAAGCTGCGGCTGAGCGAGGAGAAGCAATACTTCACGGTGAATGAGGAGAACGGGAACCTGTACGTGAACGAGAGGCTGGACCGGGAGGAGATGTGCGGCGAGTCGGAGACCTGCTCCGTCAGCTTCGAGGCGCTGGTGCACAACCCGCTGAACGTTTTCCACGTCGAAGTGTCCCTGGAGGACGTGAATGACAACGCTCCGTCCTTCAGGAAGGCTGTTCTGGACCTCGAGATTGGTGAATGGACTCTTGCCGGTGCTCGTTTTCCTTTGGAGATGGCCCGAGATGCGGACGCAGGAAGCAACTCGCTGCTGTCTTACCAACTCACAAGCAACCCATCTTTCAGTTTGGCCTTAAAAGAGAACCCAGGTGCAAGCAAGCAGCCAGAATTAGTATTGGAGGGAGTGTTGGACCGGGAGAAGCAGAGCTCGTTTGAATTGGTGCTGACAGCCGTGGATGGCGGGGAACCTTCAAGGTCTGGGACTATCCAGGTTCGCATCACCGTGGCAGACTTAAATGACAACCCACCCGTGTTCAGCAAAACTCTATACGAGGCGCGAGTGGCAGAGAATCTGCCCGCGGGGTCTCTGGTGCTGCAAGTACGGGCTACGGATGCAGATGTAGGTTCCAATGGGCAAGTCTCCTACTCATTCGGTGACGTCCCTGACGACGTCCTTTTGTTGTTCAATATTGACAGCGACAGCGGTGAGGTCACAACGGCGGGTCCCCTCGATTTTGAGGAGAAGAGTAAATACATCTTCGGTCTAGAGGCGAGGGACGGAGGCGGGCTCACCAGTCACTGCCAAGTGCAGATTTACATAATGGACGAGAACGACAACGCGCCCGAGATCACCATTCTGTCTCTCTCGAGTCCCGTGCCAGAGGATGCCCCGACAGGCACCGTGGTGGCCCTGCTGAAAGTGCGGGACAGAGACTCCGGCGAGAACGGTCAGGTGATGTGCGAGCTGTCGGGAGAGGCGCCGCTGTCGATCGCGGCGTCGTCAGGCGGCTCGTACAAGGTGGTGACATCGGGCGCGCTGGACCGCGAGCAGGCGTCGGAGCATCGCGTGACGGTGGTGGCCCGGGACCGGGGCAGGCCGGCGCTGTGGAGCAGCCGGGAGCTGGTGCTGGAGGTGTCGGACGTGAACGACAACGCGCCGGTGTTCGAGGAGGCGGCGTACAGCGCGTACGTGGCGGAGAACAACGCGGCGGGCGCGCTGGTGCTGCGCGTGCAGGCGCGGGACGCGGACGCGGGCGCCAACGGGCGCGTGAGCTACTGGCTGGCGGGCGGCAGCGCGGGCGCGGCGGGCGCGGCGCCGCTGGTGTCGGTGGAGGCGCGGAGCGGCGCGCTGTACGCGCAGCGCTCCTTGGACTACGAGCAGTGCCGCGAGTTCACGGTGGCCGTGCGGGCGCAGGACGGCGGCTCGCCGGCGCGCAGCTCCACGGCCACGGTGCGCGTCTTCGTGCTGGACCGCAACGACAACGCGCCCAGGGTGCTCTGGCCCGCGGCGGCGGCGGCGGGAGAGGCTGCGGGAGGGGCGGCGGCGCCGCCGGCTTTCGAGGTGGTTCCGCGCTCGGCCGAGGCCGGCTACCTGGTGGCCAAGGTGGTGGCGGTGGACGCGGACGCGGGGCGCAACGCGTGGCTGTCGTACGAGCTGGTGCAGGCGTCGGAGCCGGCGCTGTTCCGCGTGGGGCTGCACAGCGGCGAGGTGCGCACGGCGCGCGCCGTGGGCGAGCGGGACGCGGCCAAGCAGCGGCTGGTGGCCGTGGTCAAGGACCACGGGCAGCCGGCGCTGTCGGCCACGGCCACGCTGCACGTGGTGCTGGCCGAGAGCTTGCAGGAGGCGCTGCCGGAGCTGAGCGAGCGGCCGGCGGCCGCCGAGGCGGCGGCGGCGGCGGCCGAGCTGCAGTTCTACCTGGTGCTGGCGCTGGCGCTGCTGTCGGCGCTCTTGGTGCTGAGCGTGGCGCTGGCCGTGCTGGCGCGGCTGCGCCGGGCCGGGCCGCCCGCCGTGCTGCGCTGCCTGGGCGCGCAGCGCTTCTCGCTGGCCGGCGCCGCCTTCCCGGCCGACTTCTGCGAGGGCACCTTGCCCTACTCCTACAACCTGTGCGTGCCGCCGCCCGCCCGCGCCGTGCCCGAGGCCGCTTGGCCGCCGCCGCCGCCGGTGCCCGTCCTGTCGGCGGAGGAGCTTCTGGGCGGCGATTCCTGCGACAAGCCGAGCCCGGACAGTCAGCTCGCCTTGGGAGAACCACCCGCCGAGCCCGACGCACCGCAGGTCTGTAAACCGTGAGCTGCTTCTTTTTTTTTTTTCAAGTTCCCAGAATGTCATCATAGTTTCCTGTGTGTTCTTTGCGTGTTGTCAGTGAGGATTCGTCATCTTTTGTTCCACGTAGCAGCGGAAATTTTTCATTTTTTCTCTGTTATAGCTTCAGCTGACAGGCTTTGATGATAGCTCTCCTTTAGGCTAGTAGCGGTGTTTTTGCGTGTTTCTCTTTGTTTCCCCGGGTGGTGTTTGTGTGAGTTGCACAGTCCTGTCTTCGTGACGGACTGAATTAAGGAACGGGCTATTCCCCGTTCATGCAGAGCCGAAAGCCTTTGGTTCTTCCTTGGTCGGAGGTTCAGCTTCAGGCGCGAGCTTCATAAATTAGAATCTGTTAGCAACATTGAAAACAGGTTCGTATTCTGTGGAAGGGGAACGGCTGATTCTGCAGGACAGGGTCAAGGAAAAAGAGCACTGACATTTCGTGTTGGAGATGTTTCTTCCCCGACTGATTTGTTCAGAAAGGTGTGCTTGGAACTCGTGTATAGCTATACCCGAACCCCTTCGTTAAATGTGGGGTTTTTTTGTGTTTTTTTTTTTTGTTTGTTTGGTTTGTTTTTTTTTTTTTGTCTCTGTTTTATTTGGAATGGAAAGGAATGTGAAAAGTTCCTTTCATTTTTTTTTTTCTAAGTGATAGAAGAGATGGTCACACGTTTTGGGGGGAATGCAGTAGTGAGGTTAGATGTCTTCGTTTCTGCGTTTGGCTGGCAGTTCTCTCTGTTTTGCTCTTAATGATCTTAATTTCATACACTGGTGAGAGTACTGAAAGATTTCTGCTTCAGAGATTGTTATTCTTCTATCCTCTTTGCACAAAGATTTTGGGGATTTTAGTAGATCTCAAATATATCGAAATAAGCAAATTTTTGCGATTCTGTTTACTAGGATAAACATCTTATATAGGAAGGGATCATGTATTAGGGAAATTGGTCAGAAGAGTGTTTAGGAACTTGAATGAAGCCCATTTGCACATTGATTAGAGGTCAGCAGAGTTTCAAGTGTTGTACTGTTTTTCTAGGGTCCCATATTTATTATCGCATCAAGGCCCTTAAGAAATACTTATGTGATAAATTTCTCAATGAGCATTAGTGCTTCACTCATTGCTCTTAGAAAAAAAAAAAAAGGAAATTATTTGATTAAATGTAAACCTGTGTAAACTAAGGAAACACTAGGCATCTCTTGGGAAAGGATATCAAATATTTCAAGTCTTGAAACATTGCCTTGAGACTATCAGCTGCATCTTTATTGGTACTTATAATTGAATCCTGTAACAATTAGCCCCCTGACTTCAAGAAGTATGCAATTGCTTTCGTCCCACTTGTCTTAATAAACCTGATAGCTCTGTTTCTTCGGGGTATGCTATCTTCCATTTTCTCTATGCGAGCCGGCTGTTGAAGGTGCTTTTGAACAAAAAGGATAATATTAAGAATAAGCTACAGGGTAAAATATGCATTTTAGTTTACGTATAGTGACATTAGTAAGTATGAGTTTCCCGTACGATTAAAGAACCACGCCCGCGGAATGCCTCTGCCTTCTCCCTATGGTGATACCGTGGAGGATGAAAGCAGAGATGGGCTGCAGAAATGCGGAGGCGCTGGACGAAAAGCGACATCTCGGTGGCGAC